GTTGTTTTTCAAATCAGTGCAACAACAAAATAAGACGTCTGTCTTCCTGCCGACATTTCAATTCTGCTTTCTTCCTATTGTCGAAGCGCCCTGCAGGACATTGCCCACGATGCAATGCAGGTTCCTCTCTGGCCAAGTCGTGTGTGATGCACTGTGAGAATCTGCAAAAGCAGATGCAGGTGAATTCAATACTTCAACGTTTCTTATCAGCAAGAAGTGTCTACCCAAAAAATCTTGCCTCAAACTCCGAGAATTTCAGAATGTCTGTCCTGTGAACAAGGGAAACTTCTGACAATTCAGGAAGAAAAGCAACACTGAAGCTACCGACACAGTGGTTGCTTAGTCCTTGTTTTACTCCAGCGACAATCTTCTTTTTCAAAAATCATTCTGGCAATTACAGCTCTAGACAGCAACTTCAGTAAACCAACCACAAACCAGCGAGCTGCAAACTGAACCCGCCCAGCCTTTAAGGTGTCACTTCTTAAACTGAGGCAGACGTGCTATGCGACTGCCAGCAGCAACCTCCCGGATGCTGCTCCTGCTGCAGTTGGTCGGGGGTGGGAAGGGAGAATTTCATTCAAAGCAGAAAGCCACTCTCTGCTTTTTCAAAATAAAACACTATTATATACTTAAAAATAAATAAATTAAAAATAAATAAATAAATAAAATTAAAAAATCCACAGCAAACAAAAAAAAAAAAATCCCCAAGAACGTTTGATTTATTTGGTCTATCTTGAATGCGTAAGATTTCATTTGTACATGAGTAACTAATACCACCATTTCAGCGACAATGATACTAGCTTTCTGTTAAGGAGAAGTACTGCCCTCAAGGCAACGCATGGAATTAACACTGAGTGTAATTTGCTCATTACACGGGTCAGAAAATGGGCATCAGATTCAAAACCTAATTTGGCACCTCTGTACCTCTGGTTTTACCTTGAAGTCTGAAAAACCTATAGCCTTTCTTTGTGCCTGGTTCTTCTGGTTTTGCAGCATATAAGCTCCAAAAATTTTCTTACCCTTCTTGAACAAATCACACCAAGTACAAACTTCATAATAAAATATAAATATTTTCCCTGTTTATTGCTTTAAAACTGGAGAATGCAGTGAAGTTCTCTTGTTTCTAAACGGGTATGGACAAAGATGTTTGCCTTCCTATTGCTTGTGATAAGAAAGTATGCATTTTTGATAAGGAAGAATGTATTTTTGTTATCAGCTTTGGATCATTTTTCATGTTCAGTTAGAAAGCACAACGTTGCTGTGCAGATGTAAACCCCCTTGAAAAATGCACAGGATAAACAAGATAACAGGGATACCCTTCCGCTAACTTACTCCAAGATATTTCACTAAAATTACATGACAAAGAAACACCTGATTAGCCACATTTAGGGGGGAAATAAAGGGTTCCTGTGACATTCCATTACTCCATGCTCTTTTCTTCGTGTTCCACTGCTATGTGGTCTGCCTCTCAGATAACCTGAAGGTATTAATATGTCATATTTGCTTCACAAACATTGTCAGGCTCATTAATATAAAAAACAAACAAAACACAGTTCAGGTCAAAGAAACATGAGTCAGAATAAATGTTACAAGTAGTTTTTCATAGGACATACTTGTAGCCAGAAGCATTGGGAGATCTTAACATGTCTTAAGAAAAACTAAACAAAGAAACACCCTTATTTTCTTGTTTAATGCCATTGCTTATTAGAAAAAACAAAAAAGATTAGTTGTAATCATTAAAATGGGCTGGCTCTAACACCTGTACTCCCACTGACCTTGGTGAACCCCAGGCCTCCGCCAGGTATAGCTAATTAATTGCATGCAACACAGTTGACTAAAGTTCCTCCATTTTTTATACAAATGACTATTCCTGTACCTTTCTACACAAATTACACCAAGCAAACTATTTGTTACTTGAAAATCTTGGTCTGTTCTGTCCTCCAAGCCTCATCCTGGCTGCTAGCCTCAAAAATTACTTTTTACTTCACTCTTACTCCTCTCCCAGCCAGGTATAAACTGGTCATTTGGCTTCTCTGTGGAGAGCTTTTTCTAAAATACTGCCTGTTACGTCTCCACAACCAGCGAAACGTATTTGTCGGGGCCCATGCAGACGGCACCAAAGCCCTGTGCCCCTGCAGACGCAAATCCAGCAGCAAGGCCAGGCATGGGGCACCGGGAATTTCGGCGCGGCACAAGCCCGGGAAGCAGCTCCCTTTGCCCAGCTGGCACGTCCGGCACCAACCACACTGCACCCTGCTCACGGAGGTCAGAGCTTGGGGACATAGCCCTTCCCAGTAACACAGGATCTGTAAATCTTCCCAGGCTCCACAGGCTTATCTTCGGAAACGCCTCCGAGACTAGGCAGCACTACCCCCACTGCTGAAATCAGGAACGGGTGTTTGAGATGACTCCTGCAGTCGCAAGTCCATCAGAGAAGGCAACAGCTGAAGGCTGCTCATGGCCACAGCCGCGTGCCCATCCTCTTCTCTCTCGTCAGGGTCTGCATCTGGCTTTGCAGAGCTCTGGTACGGTTTTACTCTGCAGTTCTATCGCAAAGTCACTTCACTCTTGCGCCAGCTGCCTTAGGTCTGTACCGACCGCCCGGTGAAAAACTCACAAGTGAATTAATGAGAGTGGGGGGAGAGGGGAAACAGACTCCTCCAAGATTGCCCTCTATGTATAACGACTGACCCGGTGCCTTTGCAAACCCTGTAACCTCTTACTAATTTCTGGGTTTGATACAAACTTACCACAAAAAGCAAACTCACTTCTCCCATACCCTGCGGGATTCCTCTACACGCCCCCTCCCCTCCAGCCACCAACTTCAGCAGTGGGAGGTAGGTGCGTTCCCCAAAACCCAGGCTGCACACAGTCCGTGTGACTGTGGGTGCCCCCAGACCCTGGCAGAAGCACATGCTCCGAGAAAGCCCTGCACGCCCTGACCCACGGCTGGCCCACCTCCCTGCTTTTATTGTTAGGCATCTTTCATTTACAACAACAAACCAAAATAATATTAAGAACTTCTGTGAGCTGTGAATAACGGTATTTAACTCA